TGGACTCATGCAGGACTGCTGTGGAATCCAGGCCCTCAGGTGGATTCTTTAGATTGTAGTGTATGGACAAATTTTCTGCACTCTTTTGTATTTGACTGTTTAGATCACTACTATAAATAATACTATAAATCATGTGTCCTATATTGTCTTTTCTCCTGCAAACTCTGGTAACAACATCCAAAAAAGATGAACACTGACTTATAAAAGAATGTCTTATTTGTTAATGAAAGAAAAGTAAAGAGACATAAAATCATGAACAATATCTTAAGTCATAAGAATATCATACTCTTTCAGAAGGAGAAAATGTTACTGAGAACATTCTACAGTTCTCATATTTGTGAAGCATACAGACATTAATTTTAATTTTATTATGATAACCATATGGAGGCGTATATAACTTTGAATTAACAGAAGAAATGAAATGAAGGAAAGTGAATATAAGCAGTCCTAAATAAAGCAAGAAAAAAAAGCACACATTCTTTAAAGATGGGAAAGAGTTAAAAGGCAGAATCAGCAACCAAAATAAAAAGCTGTTTCACTGTTGGGGAAAAAAGGTGTCAACAGGATACATGAAGGCAAATAAAGAACTTCTGCCTTATCTACACTATTTTATAATGAAAAATTATTTATTACTATGACATTCATATAGACAAGTACACACTTATACAGAGCTACTTTGATAGTCTAGGCAACAAACGTTAAAAGTACTTCACAGAAACAAAATGGCAGACGCATTCCAGGTTTTTGCTTGGGTGCTTAGAATTGGTTCTCCCTTTTAACTGAGAGACATAATGTAATGAGAAGTACAGGTCTTTAAAAGTTTAAAAGTATTTTCAGGAACTCAGGATACAGCTTAGTGTCAGAGCACTTGCCAAGCATGCACCAGTTCCTGGGATCCGTCCTCAGGAAAGCAAAAATATTTTCAGTAGTCTGAAATCATGTCTACTACAGAGGTACAGAAAACAGAACTACAGAGATAAAGATTACGAGTATTTCGTATTTATGAATAGATCCATCATGTAGAGAAACACAAAGGAATAAATATGCAAAACCAATACCAGAAAAAGGAAGATAAGTTCAGTGAACATTATGGAATGTGCTGGCTACTTCATAAACTATTTCAGATAACTACTTGAAAAAAAAAAAAAAAAAAGAAAAAAATCCTTGAAAAAACAAAGCTTTGAAATAAAAAAAAATTTCATAAAACTTTTAAAGCATTATCCTCAAAAATTTCTTTACATGAAATATAATTTTAGTATTTATTATATTTAGACATGTCTTGTATATAAACAGGGCAGTTTAGTCAAAAGTTCATTAACATGAGTGGAGAATAAAATTTATTTTTTTATATTTTTTTATTATTTTAAAGATAGTAAAATCCAACACAACAAAACAGAACAAAGCCAATCAAAACAAGGCAACAAAACTGGCTCAGAACTTCAAAGCAGGACATTAGGAAAACAACAATAGCTAACATAGTATATCTTGTTATCGTCACAATAGTTGCCCATTCCATCAGATATAGCAAAATCAAATGAAAATCAAATAATAAAACCAATCAAAACGAAATACTGAATAAAGCAAAACAATCAGAACAAAGCAAAACTGTGAGAACAACATTGGATTTCATAAACAAGTGAAAGGGTTGCTGGCCCAGACTGAACACTGTAGCCAAAAAAGCCTCAGCCGGAATTAGGGAGCTCCTGCCTCCCCCGCCCCTAGAGATTTACCTGTAACCCTATACCCCCCACCCTTAGAAACCTGCCCCTGGCGCCAAACGTGTGCCAATGAAATACCTGTGCATCTCTAATGGCCTTAGGGCACTGCCCTAAGCTTAGGCTACTTATATTCCCCCACACCACGTGTCAGAGGGAGAGATCGCAGGCACCAACGCCCCGGGGGGTTGGGGGTGTCTCTCCCCGCATTCCCGGAAATAAAGGTGACTTATATTTTATACTTCTTATCTTTTCAGCCACCACCGGTCATCTTCCTCTCCTCTTCCTCCCCTCCACAGATCTATCACAAGATAGAAGGAAATACCCCATATTTGCTATATTGCATAGGGTTATCTTCGCAAGAAGAGATGCTCAGACCAGTGGCCCCAGGCCTGCAAAGTCAGGCAGACAATACAAGCATTTAGTTGTTTATGTACCTTAGTTGCTGTCAGCTCAGCCTGTCCTCCAAAACATCAGGTAGCTTCCTTTGGGTGGTGGGGGTAGGGAGTGGAAGGTGGGGAGTTAGAGTTTGATTCTCAGCCTGAGTGCAAGTGCTCCAGTAGGCTCACAGAAGGCACTGATTTTTCTCTTCCTGGAAGCTGTAGCTTAAATGGCTTACCAGAAAGGCTGGCTGCTTGGCTTCTTGTTGAATCCTCCCAGTCCTAGCATGGCAGATTCTTTATCATTTATTTGAAATGCTTAAACTGTTAATAAAAATTTTTTGTTTTGTTTGCTTTTTGAGTGGCCTCACTTTGTAAGTTCAGGTTGGCCTTGAACTCACTATATAGTCCAGCTTATACTCAAAAACTCATGCAACCATCCTGCTTCAGCCTCTCAAATACTGGGATTACAGGAGTGTGTAACCACATCCAACCAGAAATACTTTTGGTAGATAAAAGCAGCTACATTTCAAAGTTTTGATACATAAACTTATAAATCATTCCAATTAAAATATTAACATGAAATTTTTATAGAAGACCCCCAAATGCAAAACCCATTTTTAGAGTAACTGAAAATTAGAACAATGCTATTAAGCAACTTTTAAATAATACATTCCAATATCTAAAATAACAAAGTATAATTAATACTTACATGATGAACTAAGGTTTGCAAACAAAACCACTAAAATTTATATTACTGAACACAGACAAATTGGAAATGGTTATGATGCATGGTACTTCCACATCACCCCATCTAAACAAGGAATAACTTTTTTTTAAACAGTCACAAAAAATATAGAATGTATTATATGATACGTTAACTCCAACTGTACTGTTCTTTTATCATTATACCAGCCCTAACATGCCAATGCTAGGGCATGCACTTTAACAATCTCAACTATGCCGTGTAAACAAGAGAGCCTTCTGTAATTACTTTAGAACTGAGAGCAACAGATACAGTACTGAAGAAAGTGTGTCAGCTCCTGGTCAAAAATCAGCAGAGAACCACAACCCTTGATAACAAAATCCTTGTTTCAGAAAACAAATATTTTATACATTCTTTTAGGGCCAAATCAAAGCACACTTTACAATGCGTATTTCAAATAGATTTACATTGATATTCCTAAATACAAACAAGATTTTCAAACTGAAAGAGCAGTTCATGTAATTCCTCCCTTTAAAAGAGAGCTCTTCTATTTCTCAATTAGGCTTGTCCTGCAGAATATACCCTTTTCACCAACTTCCACCATTTCTTGCACTTAATATTCTACTGACTCATTCGTAGTTAGCCTCATAATGGCAAACCATCCAGTATTATTGTTGCTTTCAGACAAACTGGCTAAATGTGGAAGTTTGCTTTCAGCCTGAGCCAACCAACAGGCAAGAACCTTTAATCCGGGGCTGGGGATTTAGCTCAGCGGCATAAGCGCCTGCCTTGCAAGCAGGCAGTCGTGAGTTCGATCCCTGGTAGCGATAAAAAGGAAAAGGACAAAAAAAAAAAGAACCTTTAATCCTAATCCGGCCACTTTGTGGTCTGAGGGAAAATCATCTTGAATACCCGTAATGCTTTTGTGGCACATCAATGTAATGAAGAACAACAACAGGGAAGATCTGGTCAAACTTTTCTGGTACTCAAGAGGTGTTCTAAACATAGCTTCACACACACTTTTATACTTTCTATTAAAAAAATGTCAGTCTGAGTACATAAAATTCTGTCAACATACACGTATCTGGCAATAGACTGTTCACTAGGGAAACAAGTATTTATATAAAGGTTAGAAGTGTAAATTCTCTATACACTTTCACATTTCCCAGTATTTTCACAGACTGATTATATAAATACCTATACGTACTATTAAAAAATCTAAATTACTAAAATATAATTTTTAATTATGACTATTACATGAAATTGATAGGGATTGTGAAAATATATGAAGCATTTGTGCAAACTGAACTGAGGAAAGGATATATATACTTTCATCAGATTTTCAAAGAAATACACAATACTCCCTAAAAACATTTTCTTAGTATTCCAAATACGCAACAAACAACTTTTCTAAAGTTTCTGGTCCTATATATCCATCCCTTTATTTAAACCATCTGTGTAAACTGTTTCTAAGGTACCTAACATTTGTTGGCACCAGATTCCTCCCCTGTATAAATGAGAATAGCCCTGTTAACACCCCTACAAAACTGCTGAACACATTACACTCTCAATGGAAGAGGAAGTTCTTTAGCCACTTAAGTGTCTATCAAAAAGTGCCAATATAAAAATTTGCTAATATTGTCGCTGATTTATTATCTGTGTCAGCAAGCTCTACAATGGCATTTAAATTTTTCACACAAAAAGGGACTGTAGCTTAGTGGTACCATACTTACCCAGAACCTGGGTAAACATGCACAAGACCCTGGGTTCAATTCCCAACACTACAAAAAATAATAAATTTTTAAAAATAAAACTTTAAACAGAGAAACTACCATAAAAAAAAATACTTCATCCTAAAATCGCTAATTACCCAGACTTTAGACTTACTCAATTTGCGGATTTTTATGATATATAAAAATATATCATAAAAAGGAAGAGCTAGAGCTAGTGACCCTTCACATGTTCTGAGCAGAGAGCACTGCAGGAAGTACCCACGGAACACCCTGAGGGCACAGAGTGACCCAGGGGAACAGGTGTTCCCACCCTGAGAACACAGGCCTGAGAGGCGAGCTGTTTAAGCAGAGGGATGTCATATGACAAACGTATAAAAAAACGCACTGCGGTGGTTGAGCAGTTCTTTTCCTCCCGCCTGCAGAGAGTACTCCACCTGCCCTCAGTTTTCTGTATACTGTCTCTTACCTTTATGTCTGCATCCTCTCACTGTCCTTCTGCCATCCTTCCCTCAGGGAACTTTGAGAGCTGTGCTGAACGTAGCAAAGTACAGGTTTACATTAGACTCTATTTTACCCAAAAGACCATAATGGTAGTTTTGTGTACTTAGTCAAGCATGAATACAATCAAGCTCTTGGGTAAGAAACTCTACCGCTCTATGGGGTTTTATTTTATTTGTGATTTTTTGAGACAGGGTCTTGCTGTATGTAGTCCAGGGTAGACTTGAATTCCCTACATAGCTAAGGCCTCGAACTCCTAATCCTCTGCCTCAGCCTCCCAGGTGCTGGGATTACAGGTGTGCACCACTATAGCCAGCTTAAGTGAATCCATTTAAACAGGCCTTAAAACGTCATTGTTCAAGGAAGCCTTTTTGATAAAAACTGACCACGTAAGTAAAGAATTTACTACATTCACAAAGCATCATGGACCTACTCAAAATATACATAACACCACTTAAATTCACAGGAACTCCAATTCAGTGGCTTGTTTATACAGTGCCACTTATAATTAAAGATAACAAATAAACAAGTAGCTTTATCTTTAGACTGTTTACTACCTCAAAACCTTTCAAACCCCATGAATGCTAAATTAAGGAAGTCACTCATTTGATCAAACTCCCAACATAAAATGCATGAAATCCTCAATTTAGTAGTACATTTTGTTCTGATAACTTGTAAGTCTACTTTTGACATTCAGAATATTTTCCCACAGAAACCACCTTATATGTGATAATTAGGTTTTTAGGTCAACCTGCAGTTTAGTATTAACAAAGCAATAATACCTAATATTTCTTTATAGCAGTGGGGGCGAACCTATGTCACGCATACTGCAGCAGGCTGTATGTACCACTGAAAGCTCCAAAAGGTTTGTCATCACTGCTCTATGAAACCATTTCTATGGAAGCATTCACTGAGGTTTCCATTTCAAAAACCAAGAGCACCTCTCACTACAACCTCAACCACTCCATCAACACAGATTTCACCCACATAGGTACACGCGCAGATACTCAGTCTAGTAACAGTACCCCAGTACAAACAAGCAACAGTTCAGGGAAGGAGTTTATAGATTTTACAGTAGTATACTTGCTTGAAAATATGATGAAAACTATGAGCTCTCTCCAAAGTATATCTATGAACCCAAGAACAAAGTATAGAGTTCAAACAATGAACTATATATTATGGACCAAAAATGTAAATATATTTCCAAAATAACGTGAACCACATATACAATTTTAAATTCTCTAGCAGCTACACCGAAAAGGTTGAAAAAAAATAAAACCAGTTTTAATGCATTTTCTTTGACGCATGACACCTACGACACTAGTGATAAAAATGTACAAATGTTTAATTTTTTTAAAATTTTATTTTATAAGATACATTGCCATTATTCCCCCTTGCCTTGAATACACCTATCCCATCATTCTTGCCACTTTCTGAAGGTTCTGTACTCTCTGTCCTTACAAGGTAGAATCAAAAACAGTTAAACTGCTGCTGAGTACGGTCTAAAGAAAGGCAGGCTTGTAAAAGCATTAGTTGTCTCCTCAATTACCTTAGTCATGGGATCAGACATCGTATGCATTCTAGCTCTTCCCTAAAGTCAAAATGACCATGAAAAGTTAACATTTCTAGATTCAGGGTATCAAAGAAGCCACAGAAGTGCAATAAAACACAAGAAACAGAACTTTCAAGTGGCAAAAATGGTGAATGTGTTTGATGTGGGAAGGTGTATTCTGAGGGTGATTAGGGGCAGTGTCTCAAGTCCTCTATATTCTTAAAATCACTAAAGACTCCAGGAAATGGAGTGTAGCTCAGTGCAGAACAGTTACCTATCATGCATAAGGGTTCAAATGCCAGCACTGGAAGAAAAAAGACTACTGACTACCCCATGGAAAAAGTTTGTTTACATCCATATCAATCCATATTTATTAAAGTAAAAACTGAAGATTTGATCTTTATTAACCATTTAAAAATTTAAAAATTATGTGTCAACATAATATTTTAATGAAAAATAAGTAGTTTTTCCAAAACAAAATCTCAGAAAGGTGGCACTGTTTTCCATACTTTTGTAAAGATAATATCTGGCTTAGCAGAAATCTGCTAAATTTTATACTTCTACAGTAAACCTGTAGAAATGTGGAGCACAGATCAAGGAGTGCCAAGATGGGAGCTAAGCCACCTCCTTACACCTGCGCCTCCCCACCCCCGCACCCTCCTCCTCCCCCACCCTGCTGCCCAAGAGTGAGCTGGGGAGAGTAGCACAGCTCCTCCTCTACCCACCAGCAACCAGGTGAGCAACTATTTAGAAGACAAGATGCAATGTAGTGACTATTGCAGATTTCCTACTGTCTTAGCACTGTTTTGATTTACTTTATTGCTGTTTGATTCCTTTACAATTAAATAAAAAATCAGTATTAAAAAACTGCAGAAATGCCTCATAATGAAGCATTATGAAGAAATTCTAACCTTACAGAAATATCAGATGAAAATGAAAATTTTTCATACTCTTTTTAGGTTAACCACAGATATACTCTTCTTTGCTACCACAGCAAAACATGAAACCTAGTTTCTTAAAGCTAGTTGTAATACAGTATTTATTTAAAACTGCATCACTCAATTTTTGGCACTGTTACAATTAACATTCATGGAGTCATTCTTGTACTTTGTAACATTGAAAAAATATTAGTTCACTGGGTTACAAAGGTCTTCCATTACACAATTTTTAATCACATTCTTAATAATCTTCTCAAAAATTCCTTTGAAGTAATGGAAGTCTGTCATGTTCACAATGGTATAAACACAAGTTTTCCAAAATTATAACTATTTTGTGAGAAGGAGTGGTGGTGGGAGTACTGGGATTGATCTCACAGGAGCTATATTCCCAGCCCTTTTTATATACTGAAATGGAGTTTTGCTGAACTACTCAGGCTGACCTTGAACTTTCATCCTCCTGCCTTCAACATCCTGAGTAGCTGGGATTACAGGTACCACTATGCCCAGGTAATAATTGTCCTTTAGAAATTTGAATTCCAACATTAATACCAGTACTTTGAGGAAATGTCTGCCAAATACCAAAGATAAAACGAATAATTATAGTTTATCAGCCATTCAGTCAAGTAAAACTAGTAGTCCATGAAATTCCAAGTGCTTCTCTTATTTATCATAATTCATAATGCAGCAAAAGTGCTTTATATATATTTGTATTTCTTACATTATATACTTACAAATGGCCAATAACCAAATGAAAAGATGCTCAAAATCACTAATCATTAGGAAAATATACATCAAAACTATGAGATACATCTTCATAGCCCTAAGAATTGCTATTACTAAAAAACAAAAACAAAAAAAATCTAAATAATAACCAGGTACTAGTGAGAAAAGGATGTAGAGAAACTGAAAGCCACTGTACTGCTACTAGGAAGGTAAAATGGTACAGCTACTGAGAAAAACAGTCCCTCAAAAAAAAAAAAAAAAAAAAAAAACAGAATTATCACATGGTCCAGTAATTTCGTTTCTGGGTACATTAAAAAAGAAACGAACACAGGGGTCCAAACACATATTTGTACACCTGTGTTTGCACCAGCATTACTGACAACAGCCAAAAGGTAGAACCACCTAAAAGTCCATAAACAGATGAACAGATAAGTAAAATGTGATATATATGCAGATATATATAGATATATAACAGAATACTAAGTCTTAGAAAACAATAAAATTTTGCTATAAACTACAACAGGGACAAACCTTGAAGATATTATGCTAAATAAATCAGACAACAGAAGGATCAACATTGTTTCTATTTCTGGGAGCTAGAAAGATTAGTTCAGTTAGTAGAAACAGAAGTAGACTAGTGGTTATCAGGCTGTAGGGAAAAGGAGAGATGGAAGTCATTATTTAACAAGTAGAAAGTTTAAGGTAATAAATTTCTAAAGCTGGACAGTGATGTTGGTTGTACAGTAACATCAAAGTACTAAATGCCTCTGAACCATACACTTAAAAAATGGTTAAGACAGTAAATGTTATAATGTGATCATAATTAAAATTTAAAAATCTATGCAAGGCCAAGATTAAAGAAATATTTTACTGCTTTATTGAATGGCCTCTTAAAAAATAACTAAATGCCATCACAGTAGAGAATATATCACTAATAACACAGTTTAGTGACAACTGTATCTTGATTTGTATTAAAGGGTTAGTGGTACAAATGTCAACTGTGTCTTAGTATAATTATGAAAGTAACTTTCATTTGATAGATCCTCTTAAAGGGTCCTAGGAATTCCTGTCTGAGAAATATTACTCAAGCCCATCCTTTCTGAAAAGTCAATTAGCACAGGAAAAAGGAGAAAAGGTCATAGAACAGATTTATTTATGTTTCTCTTCCAAAGTAAGAAAAATAGGCTTATAATGCTAACAGCAATTGAAGATAATAAATATTAAGCACAAGTTAAAAATGGAGACGTGGAAGTTTTACTTAACAAGTAAAGTTTAAGAAGAAAATCATATCAGCTAACAGAAAACGGAGGGGAAAAAATGACCAAGAAGGCCTCTGAAGTTGGAGGCAAAGAACAGAGAGATATCAGAGGTAGATGTTGAGGGTGGAAGTTACACTTTTGCTTTTTTGGTTTTTTTCTAAAGAAAAAAGCTCCCCTGTCAGGTGCAATGCCACACATCTGTAATCACAGTTACCAGAGAGGCCAAGTTACAGTACTAAAGAGGCTAAGAGGATCGTCCTGAGCAATTTGGTGAGACTGTCTCAAAATGGAAAAATAAAAAGGCTGGGCATATTCCTCAGCATTCCTGTTTCAAACTCCGCTCCACTACACACACACACACCCTAGGCATTTAGAATTATACTTCCAGCTTCTGGAGAAGCTGAAGTGGCTGAAGTAGAAGGACTGCAAGTTGGATGATGATTTCCAGGCCAAGCTGGTCAACTTAGCAAGACCCTGTCTCAAAATAAAGAGCTGGGGATATGACTCAATAACAGAGTGCTTCCCCTGCATGCATATGAGGCCCTAGGTTATATCCCTAGTACCAAAAAAACTCTAACTTAGAAAAATACAACCACCAGACAAATGCTTCTTGATAATGATAGTGATAAATCTATACACTAAAAAAATTAGAAATATTATTTCTGAATGTAGCTGAGAACACATAGTGCATTCATTATTCTAACTTTTTATTTATACATGTATAAAAATATATCAAACGAATCACAAAAATGACTTTTATTTAAAGATAGGTTTTGCAGCCGGGTATGGTTGCATACAGCTGTATTCCCAGCACTTGGGAGATCAAGGCAGGAGACCTGACATGAGTTCACAGCCAGCTTGGGCTACACGGTAAGTTCAAGGGCAGCCTGAACTACACAGTGAGGTCCTGTCTCAAAAATTAAAATTAAAAAAATTAAAGATGGGTTTTGCTACATTGCTCAGGTAGGTTTCCAACTAGGCTCAAGTGACTCTCCTGCCTCAACTAAAGAAAGGAGAACTACAGGTTATGCATCACACATTCACCATGTCATGTTATTTTGAGTAAACTGTTTTATTATGCCTTAGAATTCAACTCACTGCAAAGTCTTGGGTGTTTAGTATTCTGGGTTTAAATAAAATGCATTTATGTTGTGATCTAACAGGACAAATCTGAATGAACTTCATTTTCTTTGAACACATATAGAACAAACTAATAGAAAAATGCACTTGATACTGTAGTATATCAGATTCAGATTCTAAGGCCTCCAAGTTCTGTAACTGTGAACTAGGATCAAAAAAATTTGGTAAGGCAAGAGGCATCATAATCCCTGACTTAAAATTATATAATTTTACAAAGCTATTGAGATTAAATAGCATGGTACTGTTAAGAAATAAAAACAACAGCAACAACAAAAAACACAGACCCAAGGATCAATGGAACAATGAAGATGCAGAAACAACTCCAGTCACACTCAGTCATCCAATACTCAACAAAAGAGTCAAATACTCTCACTGGAAGAAAGCCTCTTAATAAATGGTACTCGAAAAACTGGCTTTCCACACGCTAAAGATTAAAACTAACTCATGTCTCTTACCACACACTAAACTAAAATCAAAACGATCAAAGATCTAAATATTCAGCTGGCTATGGTGTCACACACCTGTAATCCCAGCACTCAGGAGGCTGAGGCAAGAAGACTGGAGTTTAAGATCAGCCAGGACTACAAAGTGAGCTCAAGGCCAGCCTGACCTGCATAGTGAGACCCTGTCTCAAAAAGACAAAAAACAAACAAACAAACAAAAAACTAAACTAAAACTTAAAACAGAAACACTAAATCTGATAGGCGAGAAAAGATAGAACTCTTTAAGACACAGGTGTAGGCAAATATTTCATGAACAAAACCCCATCACATGGGAAATATCACAAAGAATCACCAATTGGGATCTCATTAAAAAGCTTTTGCACAGCAAAAAAAAAATCATCAACAGAGTGAAAACACTACACACAGAATGGAAAAAATGTTTGCCAGTTGTTCCTCAGACAAAAGACTAGTATCTAGAGTCTATAAACACCAACTGTTAAAAAATTCCCAATTTAAAGCCCCAATCCAAAAATGCTCATCTGAAATTAATGCATACTTCCCAAATGAAGTAGTACATATGGCAATATATGAAAAATGTTCAACATCACTGGTCATCTGAGATGCTGAGATTCCACCTCACTCTGGAAAGAATGGCTATTATGAAGAAATCAACCAATAACAAATTGATTAGCAGGGCTGTGTTGAAAAAGGAACCCTTTTCCATTGTTGGTGGGAGTGTAAGATGGTGTAACTACAGCAGAAATCAGTGTGAAAATTCCTAAAAATCTAGAACTCAGGGTTCCATTTGACCTAATTATTCCCCTTCTTGTTATCTTCCCAAAAGAACTGAAAATATCCTAACAGCAATATATGAACACCATGTTTATAA